TTTAGAGGGGAAATGTAGAAGGAAATATGGGGTTATTTTGGGTCATATGCTTTAAATGTAAAATGATCCAGCACGTTCCAAAAGATGTTTTTATTATTGTAACTAAACTATTATCCATATGCTTATATTGATTAAATTGATTGAAAAGCGTAATTTTCAGTATATATTTTTAGATCTTTCCTAAAAAAAAAAGTAATGTTAACTTTGATAATACTTTCTGTTTGATGTAATTTGAGAACATTTTGACATGAGTTGAGAAGAACAGTTGCTCTGATAGTAATGAGATTTTTTCTTCTTGATCATTTAACCTATTTTATTAGTTTTTTTTTAAATAGATGCCAGCAAGTTTTCTTTATTTGATTCTGATGTTTTTCCTCTTTAGGCATCTTATTGAGCAAATACTTTTAGAGAACCTCCTATGTTTAGGGCACTGTTATAGAACCGGTGAAAGGGAGGAGAGTTGGAGGTAAGTCGCAGTCTCTGTTTGGGGAGCTTGCCTGAGTGAGCTTAGCTTTCTTTATGTAGACTCCATGTGGATCCAGAATATTGGCCGTGGGTTTTGAAAATGTAGAATAATTAATAGATATTCAGAACTTAAATCATATATGCTTTCTACCATCTAGTTTAAACTTTTAAAAGATACTGTTAAATTTACACTTAAATTGCTTTAGTACGCCTTTAAAATTTTAGCTCAAGTATGATAGGATGAAGACATGTTCTTTTCCCTTCACTGCTGTATTCAGATCTTAATGTCACAGGAAGATAGCAGTATTGTTTTCAACACTAATACGTTTAGAAGATAATTTCTAGCCTCAGTTTGTGATAGCTATATACATTTATGAGGAAAATCTTTAGCACATGGCTTACATGGCACAAAAAATAGTTTCAAATGACTTAATCTGTGTTTAATATCTGATAATTATGTTAAGAAAAAAAGAGAAAAGGAAATGGAGAATCTCCCTCTCCCAGGCCAGCCATTTGACAATAGCATAATTGAGAACGTGTCCTTGGCCTCTCTCCTCCTTCTCCCCCAGATTGGTGTAGGTGCTCTTTACTCTTAGTGAGATGTACAGCAGACCTATTCGTTCTCTTCCAAGAAGTTCTCAAAACAGCAGACAGCTGTGAACACTTGATATGTGTTTGGCTTGGAATTCAGCATGTGAACCTCTGCCTAGATGGTTTTTCCCTAGACCGGAGGGCTTTATTTCAGAACACAGTTGTGAAGTAAGGTGATGCTTCTTTACGGCTAGGCTAAAGTGCGCCATAACTGCATGCAGAGGTGAGGTGCACCATGGTAAATGGGAGAGTTTGACTTTCTCAATAACTGGGGAGTAAATACTGACAATTTGGTAAGCAGGAAAGCTGCATATTTCTCATGTGTTCCATCTCCATTTCCTTTTATTTATCAATTTGAATGTTGTTGAGAGTTGGGCCTCAGTATGAATTTTAATTAGAATTATAGTATAGCATTAATCTTACTATGGTAGCAAGACCAGTGTAATATGAACACACTTAAAAATTTTATATATTATAAAATGGATAATTGAAGTCATGCCAAGTCCATGATACTATGCATTCATGCCAACCCTTTTTTTTTTTTGAGATGGAGTATAGCTCTGTTGCCCAGGCTGGAGTGCAGTGGTATGATGTTGGCTCACTGCAACCCCTGCCTCCTGGTTTCAAGCAATCCTTCTGCCTCAGCCTCCCAAGTAGCTGGGATTACAGACGCCCGCCACCATGCCCAATTACTTTTTGTATTTTTGGTAGAGACGGGGTTTCACTGTGTTGGCCAGGATGGTCTCAAACTCATAACCTAGTGATTCACCCACCTCTGCCTCCCAAAGTGCTGGGATTACAAGTGTGAGCCACTGTGCCCAGCCCATTTTATCCTTTTTTTAAATTGCCTTTTTATTTTTGATATTTCAGCTGATCATTTATTACCTTTTCCTCTGTGGTTATTTAAAGTCATCTTTTCTTCATTTTTCTTTACCAGGACTCTGTTTTATTAGCGTTTTGGAACAAGTGGCTACCTGAATATAGATTTTATTTTTGTTGTGAAAATTGGTATCTTACAGAATTTCTTCAGTGAAACGAAGAAGTGCTTCATGCCAAAGGAAAAACTGGCCAGGAGGAGTCCCTGCACAGTGTGATTTCCACTGACATGAGGCCCTGCGCCTGTGCCTGTGCAGCTGTCTAACTGCTGGTGGCCCAGACAGATCTGCAAGCCTGGCTCTACGTATAGAGTGGCGATAGTTGGGTGATTAATTGAAGATAGATTTTGTATTTGAGGTCCCAAGCAGGAGACAGTCTTACGTTCTAATGGTCTTTGAAAGGTGCACTCTTATAACTGTTTAAATTGGGTGAGAGAAATGCTGTAATTTGTCACCTAAATTAGAAAGTTAAGGCTGTTTTATTCTGCTTAGCACAGTGCCTGGGATGTTAGGCACTCAGGTGTTTAAACAGTGAATGAATAAATGGACAGATGGATGGATAAATAAATTTAGTTGGTCTTTGTTTTTAAAAATATTTAAAAAGAAATGAGTAGCAGATACTTTACATTAAATCTGAGGAATAATAGCTCCTCTGTAGCTTTTGCAGTTCCATTTCTTTGGGCCAATGACTAGGGTAAATGGATTATGACATAGGACCAGGGTGAACCACCTCACTTATTGGGTGTTATGGGAAGGATATTTAAAAAAGAAGGAGAAAGGAAGAACATTTCATTTGTTTTTGTGCATTTTACTGGAATTCAGAGAGATACCTAGTTTGAGATTCCTGCCTTAATTTTTTTTATTTACAGAACTGGCCTAAATATAGTGAGGCATTCCCATTCTGGTTTTTATCCTTCCATTAGCTTGAAGGGGTGACAGGGGCAGGTGGTCATATTTCACAGCAATGCAGGGAGGTGGGAAAATACAGTGTAGAGCCTTAGAACCAACCCTTAGCTTGTTAACTGGTCTCATTAAGAGTCATGATTTTTAGGGGAAGGGGAAGGGCAGGTGCTCTTGTCTATTTTGTTCATAGTGTGTTTTGGACCCCATTAACCTAGCCCTTAAAACATTGCTTTTACTGAGTTACCCATTAATGTTAAGCTTTGATTCGTGTTTGGCTATAGGAAATAATTGTAAACTCTGTTTTTACATTTGTGTGAGATTATTGTCTTTGTCCCTTTCATCATCTGATGACTCTTCCATAGTGCTTCATTGCTGACATTTCTTTAACACTTAATACTGGGAAGAATATCTTTCCTGGCTAACTAGATAGTTTCCTCATTTCTGTTAAGATTTGTGTAACTCATCCTGAGTCTCTCCTTGCTCTGATCAAGAGCATACTTAGGGCCAAGATTTTTATGCTTGACATTAATGTTACTGCTATCTTCTTTTTCTTAACTCTGTTTTTCCTTTCAAAAGTTATTATAAACAATCTTATTTTGTATGTGCTTTTAATTAGGTGCTTTACATTCTTCTTGGAAAGAGTCATGTTTCTAATAGATTCTTTAAAACAACAGTGCATGTTCATTATACATTAAGTACTTCCTTTGAACTTATGCTTCTTAGTTGTATAACCTTTTCCTGATAACCCTAGTTGATTTTTATTTCTTGTTTATTCCTGGGTCAAGTTGAGTATCCCCACGTTTGGGTGGACAAATACTATTTTGTTAAGATCTTAAGATTATGGTATAAGTACTTATAGGAAATAGAACTGATTTGTTCTTTCTAAAGGGTAAGCTTTTGATAAGTGAATATGAATTCCCTGTAAGAACTAGGTAGTATAAATCATTGCTGAACCCCAAACTAATGTTCATTATGCCTAGCTATGGTTATAACCTTTGACTGAAATGTGCACATTTAGATCATTATCTTTTTTCCTGCTACCCAGTGTCTACTCTGATTTGAGGTAATGCTATTTTCTGGGAAGAATGGCTACAAGATTTAAATCCTGCAGTTAATTTTCTCATGTTATATTTGTGCACCTATCAGGCATGGTAGTAGTCAAGAATCAACTGAATTTTCCCTGACACTTTTTATTCTTTTCAATGTTATTGTAATAACACCTGTGTGAAGCAGGCATCTGGATCTTCCAGAAACGCAGATGCTTTCTTGATGAACCCCATCTCATATTAACCCTTTCTCTGTATAGAATTATTTTAATTATTTCATATACAGAACATTATATTACATGAAAATCTATAGGCCGGGTATGGTGGGTCACACCTGTAATCCTAGCACTTCAGGAGTCCAGGGCAGGCAGGTCACTTGAGGTCAGGAGTTCCAGGCCAGCCTGGCCAACGTGTTGAAACCCCACCTCTAAAAATACAAAAATTAGTTGGGCATGGTGACAGATGCCTGTAGTTCCAGCTCTTCAGGAGGCTGGAGAATCGCTTGAATCCAGGAGGCAGAGCTTGCAGTGAGCTGAGATCCCAACACTGCACTCCAGCCTTGGGTGACAGAGTAAGACTGTCTCAAAAAAAAAAAAAAAATCTATAAAGATGTGCATCAGTGAGAGCTTAGATACAGTGGTGCCACTATGGCTTACATGGCTTCTTTTACCCTCATTTTGCCAACTTGTAACTATTAATAACTTCCATAATTGGTTATTACAGTAAAAGAAAATCATTTTTAGAAATTTTGAAACACTATGTTTAGCTACATTCAACAATAATTGAAACAGAATAATAAACGTTTCAAAGGCTTTGGTGGTAGTTCACTTATTTTCTACTCTGTATAACAAAATTCTTGTGTAAAACATAAGGTTTTGGCTTGTGCTCTGAATGTTACCACTTTATAGCAAGCAGAGCACAACGTCCCCTTCATTCATCTTATTTCCTTGTACTTGGGGTTTCCTTTGTGCTATTTCCTGCCTGAATTTGATTCGACTTTGGATCTGTGTGCTTATCCTTATAGCGTTATATATGCAAGTGATGATACTACTATATTCTTAAAGTATCCTCTTTATTGGTGGAATTACCAGTAAATGTAATCATTATGTTCATTACCTACCAGTCATCCTTCAGAACTGAAGTGCAAGTTGGTCCCCTTTCAGTAGGAAATGAATTGCCTCCAGCCTTCTGCTTCAGCAGGTCTGCTCCTTGCACATCAGGCTCCTCCTCCACCCCAGCCGGCTTCGGCCTCTCTCTTGTGTTTCTCTTCACCCTCTCTGGGAGTCCTCTGGGGTGTCCTCCCATCCTTTGATGGCTTCCGTGGTTTCTGTGCTCACTTACCTCAGGGAATGATTTCTAAACCACATCTGAAGTTAAAAGCGGTAGATTATGGACCCCTCCTGTAAATGAGGCTGACCATATATTCTGGAAACCTCTCCTGCTATAAGCACTTAGAAATACTGCAAAAGATACAGAAAACATTCTTTAAAAATCTTTATCACAGGAAAGTGAGAGAAATCCATAGGTAGGGGGAAAAGAGAAAGAGGAGTGAGTGTTTCTGAGACAGAAGGTCTAAAACTGGAGTGGGAAGTAAGCACTGAAGGCCGGGGCCTGGGACTTATTCAGGCCAGATGAGACCAGGCTGGAAAACAAAACAAAAACATCCATCATCAAATGGAGTTAAAAAAGAAAAAGTCTCTTTTGAGACCGTTGGGCTTGGGATTTGAATTTATGCTACCTGCATGGTCTGGAAAACCCCAAGCTGAGAAACGAATCTAAATGCTTCTGAGTCAGAAGAGCCCAGGGATGCTCGGCAGAAATAAATGCAAATACCCTCAGGAAGAATGCTACCCTCCACCCACTGATGAAGAGCGGGGGATATGCTGATGACAAAAACATTGCTAGACATATAAGGAAATGAGCAACCATGAATGAGAGTCAGCTTAGAGTCAGTGATGAGGTGCCATCTGCTTGATTCATTCATCCCTCACTTTTTAACTGACCACCTATTATATACTGAATGCTATCCTCAGTGCTATGGTTATAATGGCAAAACACCCTGTGGAGAAATGGGTACTGAGCTGCTGACCAGAGGCTTTGGTACATTTGGCCTATGGCCCCGCCCACTTCAATGCTAGAAAACTGGTGCTTTGCAGGTCCCAGTTTGAAAACTGCTGATTATGTTAATTCCTGTATTTTACCAATGAAGAAACTGAGACCACAGTGGTTATATTTTACAAATGAAAAAACTGACACCACAGAACTTGCCCCAGGTATGAGCCTCAGTTTCCTTGCCTGTAGAATGGGGATGATACCTACCTCACAGGGTTGCTGTGGCCGTGAAAGGTTAACCAGCATGTTGTCTGCTCCAGATATGTCCATTCTTCCTTTGTCTTGGTCTTCAGTAGTCACTGATAGTACAGTGACCCAGTTCTCTTGCTTTTCAGGTTAAACACTTTTCTGTTGCTGGCATGATTCTCAAGGTCTTTGGTTATTCAAGCCTACACAGAGCTCCACATCCTCACTCTTAATTGTTCTCTGATTATTTCATGTATGTGAGTTTACTCTTCCTAACAGATTGTGAACTGTTTACGTTTCAGGGTCCAGATCTTGTATTTTTATGTTAACTTTATGTTACCTAGTCTTGGACTGGTCTGTTGGTAGATTTTGTTGTTGTTGTTGTTGTTGTTTTTGTTGTTAAGCAACAATAAACAATTATTTGTTTATTAATCACAGTAATTCCATTGTAATGAGGAAATGAGAATATTTCTGTCCAGAAAATCATTATGTGAGAGTTTTGGCAAAGTAAGGAAATGCTTTTGCTAGCCGTTTATGGTGTTGACATCTATATTCTCCTCCCTCAGTCTCGAACTGATGATTCCTACCTGAATTCCTACTGCAGTTTGCCTTAGACAGTCCAGGCCTGCTTACTCCTTCCGTGCCAGGCCTGTTTGTGAGCGCTGTTCACCACACTGAGATTCTCTCTGTATGTTGGAAATAATTGAATGAGTAGCTCACAGCCACTTCCGTGTAGTTGTAAGCACATGTATTAGTATTGGAAGTGCATCCATTTGTATGGGCACAGGTCCATGGTTAGCTTTGTTTCCCTGTTGCCCTGCCCTGCCCTGATCTCTGGCCTAGATGGACAGTGTGGGCGTGCTCTCTGTGTCTTCCCTGTCCATCTGTTGGCTGATGGTCAGGTACTTCTGCTTATCATCAGAACCAGGAAAGACTCACTTGGAATTCATCCCTCCCATAGAACCCAACCGTGGCTGGGCTATCGCCAGGGCTCTGTTCAGTTGCTGGCTGCGTTTCAGTTCTCCATCTGAGTCCTTTCTATATGAAAAACATGAAAATGCCAGGGGATTATTTTTGCAAGTAAAAATGATGGCAGCAGATGTGAAAACAGATTTACTCATCATGATGTAAATTGGTGTTTTGTTTTTATTTTAGTTTAACAATATATAGGTATTCATGAAAATATTTGGCTGTAAAAAATTAGGAAAATTACAAACTGCTGTTATCTGTTGTAATTCATTCAATTCAGTTTTTTTAAAGGAACTTGAAATTGTAAGTTAAAAAATTTACTGAAATTTGTGCTAGTTAAGCTTTGCGAGTTCTAAGTAATAATCCAAAATACATTTTAAAATTCTGATTTATCAAAATTGCATCTTTCTTTGTACAGATATAATAATTTTCTAGAATGTGGGATGTGGTGGTAGGACTAATGCAGACTTATTTTAATTTCCTCTGTACCTGTAACCAAGAGAGTAAACTTCTTTATTACATCTAAACTTGTTTATTCTTTTATGTGTGCTAGACCATAGACTAGTTAAAATTTTCTGTATTACCATGCGTCTGTGAAAAGATCTTGTCTTACTGGTCTTGTATTCCTAGTAAATTTCAGTGTGGTGCTATCACCTAAACACTGTACTGTGGGACATTGGCAGGAGCTTGGGGATATTTTTGGCTACTTGGAATTCTTTTTTTCTTTTTTTGAGACAGAGTCTTGCTCTGTCACCCAGGCTGTAGTACAGTGGCACCATCTTGGCTCACCGCATCCTCTGCCACCCAGGTTTAAGCGATTCCTCTGCCTTAGCCTCCTGAGTAGCTGGGACTACAGGCATGTGCCACCACGCCCAGCTACTTTTTTTATATTTTAGTGGAGACGGGGTTTCACCATGTTGGCCAGGATGGTCTCGATATCCTGACCTCATGATCCGCCCTCCTCAACCTCCCAAAGTGCTGGGATACAGGTGTGAGCCACTGTGCTGGGCCTGGAACTCTTATTGTAATGGTATTTATTAGTAATAAGATAAATTTTATTATGTAATTATACTTGATCGGTTTATTGCCAGCCAAGACTACAGTGTGTTATATGACTAGAATTTAGCTTTTTAAGAACCCCCAAATTTTTATTTCAGCTATTTCAATTGAAAGTTTTCTAAAATATGCAGTTTTCTTCTTAATAAGAAGTTAGTGAACATAATAGGACTTGTAATTTCCCATTCAGGGTCATCTCTTTATTCTTTTGTGAGGACTCTCAGTGATGCTTTTGGAAGGGTCAGCATGTTGGGCTTCTTCCTACATTTAATGGTTATTTGTCAACAAATATTTACTGAGTTCTTTTCTAGGGCTGGAGATTCAGTGATGAAGACATATTTCTTGCCCTCAGAAGGTTCACATTGTAGTAGGGAAGATACACCAGGAAGTTAAGTCTTAAGACACAATGGCATGTTTACAGTGAAGAGAGGAAACCAACCCGGAGTGTATGGGTTTGAGATCCATACAGATCTGGGTTCATATTTCAGGGCGAATGGAGTTGTGTTAAGCTCTGTCTAGCACTTGCGTGGCCAAACGTACGCATGTACAGTGTTTATTTCTGTCATGGCAGTAAAAAGACTTTTCCTGTAGTTTATTGGCTGATAAAATAATATAGTTTATGACATCATTGGAAAAGTATTTTTATTCCTACATAGGGTCATTTGTTTCTAGAGGAAAACAATTTTAACAGCAAATAAAAGCACTTTTATTCAATTGAACATGCATTTATTGAATACCTAATATATATGTACATTTTGCTTGCTAGGTATCTTGATGAATAGACATGTAAAAGTCCTTACCCTTAAGCAACTTCCAAGTTTGCAGGGATAATAGGGACCCAAATACCCATAATATGGTGTAGAATCAAATGAGCAACTTAAGATAGAAACATTTGCTATGAAAGACTGTACCTACTAGGGAGGAATTGGCAAGGATATGTGGAATAGGTGATGTTGAAGCTGCATCATGAAAGATGGCTAAAATTGGGGGAATTTGGAATAAACATTGTACTTAGATGGATTTGCTTGGAGCTTAGTATGGGCAGTAAATACATTAATACTTTGAGAGGAGCATAATTTTTTAGTGGACACAGGTGGAGGACAAGACTGGCATGATAGATAGGTATGTGGCCTTTCTGTGAAGGGCCTTGAATGCCAGGCTGAGGAGGGTGTTCTTAGCTGGTGAATGTGACCAAGTCACTGTTTTTAAAGTGGCAAATGATACTATTGCAGCTGTCCATTAGCCCACTGGTAAAATGGGTGATTATTAACTGAGGGGAGGTCATGTGGTGTAGCATGAAGAGCACTGAAATTATCAATTGGTTTGAATTCCAGCTTCAGCACTTAATATACCGGGGGACTTTAACTTCAGGCAAGTTGCTAAAAACCTTTCTTAGCCTCAGTTTTCTTATAGAGAAAATGGGACTAATGATTCCTTTTATATGGCTGTCTTAAATGACATAACGTTTACGAAATCACCTTTAATAATTTGCACGTGCATTTGTTTGGGATTTCAGCCTAGGTGGTTTGCTTTCTTCCTTTCCAGTGTTACGCTACCTCGTATTTATTTTTCTTATCTTACTGTGCTGGCTAGGACCTCCAGTACTGTGTGATAGTAGGGTTCTCATCTTTCTACTTTGTCTAGGATTTCTACAATAGCATGATACAGACATCTTTTATTTCATTTCATTCTTGTTTTTTTCTTCCCAGCAAATATATTCTATCATATCATTTCATTCTTAAATGTGATGTTTGCTATAGATTGTAGGTAAATATCCTTTATCAGAATAAGGAAATTCTCTTCCTGATTTGGAATCTACAAAAAAAGAAAAAAAAGAGTGTTGAATTTTAGGATACTTTTTTGCTTGTTTTGCAGTGATCATTTTCCCCACTCTTTTCTCTTTTTGTATGAATTACGGCCAATAGATTGTATTGGATAAATGGAACATATAGTATGAATTATATCCAATAGATTATATTTCT